GTATATATTTTGTATGTGTGTGTGTAAATTGAGGATATATATAGAAAAGAAATTTGCTCTTGTTTTCCTAATTTAGTTCTAAGTTTCAGGAAACACTGCTGAATAAAAATACACAAACTTGAATTCTGTTGTTATTATTCTTTTTTTTTTTAGGAGAACTGATATCTTGCTTAGACCTTGGCAGTGAAAAAAACTTAGGTCATCTTCTCCAATGGCAGCATAACAGTGTGTTGTATTTTGCTTTGTTTCTACACTAAGATATGACTAAGATATGAATGTTCACCCCACACATGAGTTTGACAAAAAAAAGGAACAAACCATTACTGCATGCTTAGTATTTCTACTCCTAGAAATATGTTTGTTTGTGGGGGCTTTGGGAAGGCATTGTTGAAACAGAACAACATTAGTTTATGGTGGCAAAATAAAATCAGATTGTATCCTTCATCAATCTGGCTCTTCCGTTAATTTGATGAAGTGACCTGCAGCTCCTAAAAAACTATACCACTACATAAAAATTGTTAGTCAAAAAGACTGATTGGGGTTTATTTGGAGTCACTTTTTTTGGTACAGTTTACAGACTTTAAACTCATATTTCTTCAAGCTCCACAATGGTCAATTGTATTTTAAAGTGTATAAAATATATTTTCTTATTATAAAATGTATCAAATTGCATCTACCTTCCGTAGTTAAAACTGCTAACGTATTTTTGTAATAAGATTTTTCTTAACTTCTATAAGTATTGGTCTACTGTTGGATACTATACTGTATATGTACAGTAAATATGTAGAAGTCACTTATCAAAATATTATTTTCAGAAGGCAGTAACAACCAAACTACAGATAACTTAGAGATACACAGCATTTTTTTTGCTCTGTATTGGTGTGAACAACAGGCTTTGTTTCCATTGCTATGATTATTCTGTCCTTGTTATGCATAGAGCCATAATCTAACCATTTGCCCAGCAAGCCAGGCTACATAAAATACTGTGTATGTATACCTGTAGTATAACTGGCTAAGTTTTTGTTCCTATTTATTTATATTTATGTTTATTTGTTTTTCTATTTTTTATCACAGGTGATTTTATGCAATTTCACAATTTTAACAGTTAAAATAACAATACCCCTTATCACACACAATCCATTAACTCTCAATCTCAGTTTAAACAGGGTTTAAGCTTTTTAAATTAAAATATTAATTCAAAAATGAAATAATTTTTCTAGTATATTTATGGGGAGCAATTCCATAAGAGAAGACCTTTGGCAAAACTTATTTTCCTTTAAGTACCTTCTCTGCCATACCTCAAAGAAAGAAGAAATTCTGAGTATATATTCTAAGTAGTATGGTGATAATGTGTAAAGCGGTGTTTCTCAAAGTTAGCAAGTTCAAGATGTGTGGACCTGTTCCAAAATTTCTCAGTAGTCCACATATCTTGACATTACATTAAGGTTGTAAAACACTATATTAAAAAAAGAGATGGACTTGGGAAGAAAGGAAGCAATTTAATAAGGAAAAAAGATTACACAGTTCTAAGAGAGAAGCATGAGAAATAAACTTAAAATAACCCAACCTTCATTTTGTTTGGTAGAGAGAAACTCTCAACAAGCTGTGTAGGTTCTATTGTTCTACCCTGAACCAATAAAGAGCACTTGTGGAAGCCCTGCTGGTCCTGTTTCTTAATGCTGTCTTGAAGGGCTGTCACCTTGCTGATAGCCATTTGCATATAGGCAACTACTGCAGGGGTGGGCTGCTTGGGATTCGCAGGAGTTCAGGAGAGCCCCTAGCTAAGATTCTGTGCAGTTTGGAGAGCCCCCAAATCTCACTCCTGGTCGGCCCCACCCATCCTTCCCCTCCCCTCCCAGGAGTCCCCACGTGGCCCATTTTGGATGCAGGTAAATGCAGGATGCATGTGTAGGCTCAGGGAGGATGCTGCTATTTCTTGCTTCTAGAAAGCCTCCAGAGGTCAGGCAGGGCAAAAATGCCCCACCACCGCCATAGTGCAGGAGGCCGACTAGGCCATACCCACCATGGCCACAGCCACTCAGCAACCGGGCAGAGAACCCATTGATAAAAATTTGAAGCCCACCACTGAACTACTACAGTTAACCACAACTGTAGTTTGCTCCAAGTAAATTTCTGGATGGTCTGGGAAAGTCTCTGTCTTAATATAACAGGGATATATTGGTTCTAAATTAAAAATAATTCAGTTCCTGGTATTCTTGGAACCAAGTCTCGTATATTTCATTAATCTTGTTAACAGAAATGGGCTGTCCAATTGCCATTCCATGATTCACATACTGGAAAGTGATTTAATGTGCTTTCAGAAGCTATGAGCATCTACTAAGAGTGGGGGTGGGGAGGGATTTTAATACTTGTGAAATTGTCATCATATCAATCCCATGATTTACAGTATATACTTACAACAGATGTTATGATGTGAGTATCTAATATTGGCATTTGTAGGATGCCATTTTAATGTCTCTGAATTTGGTTATGAACACCATCATCAAGATTTTATAATTCTTGGCTTTGTTTGCAGTTTATACTAACCAATGTTTAATTGAAAATAATTTTCTGAATAAATACAATTGTCTGGATTTGCACAACACAAATGGGCTGGACTTGCAAAACCCAATGCTAGGCTTATTATCCATGATTAACTCAACTACAGTTTATTTATATCCTCTATTTGGGGGAAATTTGCACAATATCTCAAATCAATGACTAATCAAGTAGGCTGACACATAATACAATATGCTAGACCTGCTTTTCTCAGCTAGACTTCAATGGAACTCTTGGTACCATAAGATATTGCTGGAGGTTCCACAAAAACTGACTGAATTAAAAAAAAAACTTCACATGTCATATATTGCCTATACCTGCAGTAATGGACATTTTTATGTGCTATGGGTTAGGTGTCAGCCTCCCCATTGCTTCTGTGGCAATGTAGCAAAATAGTTTAGAAGTGAATTGTATTGTGAAGTTTCATATTTATTTTAGATTTTTATATATTTCTTTCTCTCCTGTATACACACACACACACACACAGGTATTCAGTGGGACTTTAAAGTTACTTCAGGGGCTCCTCAAGGGCTCCTCAATGTTGACAAAGGCTGTGTTAACCTGTGGCGGATACATTTAGGATTGAGTGTAGCCTATAAATCCTTTTGTGTAGTTTCTTCAGATTTAATTACTTGAGTCTGAATCTCCATTGCCAGCTAGAGAAGCAAACTAATCCATTACAAATGTGCATAATGAGTCTCCAGGTGGATTATTTTTGGTTGCAATTAAATGCCTTACATTGCAGTGTATCTGGAGGAATATTTTGCAATCATGTTTTTCCTACATTAAATTCAACTCTACAGACAGTCACTTTTTCATTCCATACTTATGTTTATTCAGTTGTCAGGCCTGGAGAGGAGCTAATAATATTGAAGTATCAAAAGAGAAGCTGCTCTCATTATCCAGAAATACTCTCTGTTTACAGACCAGGAGGGTTTCAATAACTTGAAAGAAAAAAAAACTGGTTTGACCAGATAATAGAGGGCTCCACTTACACTATTAAACCATGAATATTATGGCAACAATGATTTTACAACTACATTTTTCCCCTGAAAAGCTAGACTTTAAAAAAAATACAACTACTATAAGCATTGAGTTTTATACTAGAATATGATATTGTGATAAGTGCGTGCTTGAAAGGTCATGTGTATTTTTAGCAATTATATTCTAATTTTAAAAAGCTCAACTCTTCACAGATATGAATAATAAAATAAACAGTACTAATTTTCCATTGTGAAATTGTTTCTCAGATGGACCAAAAGCTTGTCTTTTTGTTATTTTTTTAAATACAATAAGTCCTTGCTTCTGGCACAAGCCCTGCTGAAGGAAGGGATTTCTTTTTGCTTTCCTTTTGTTCCTCTCACAACATTGCATGCTTTTCTGTGCCCCTTGGTTGCAGAAAAACAGACCAGCTCTATCCAGCTACCCTCGCATACAATCTGATTCTGGTCCAATACCAAAATCACCCAGTGGACTTCTGTGGCTGAAGGTAGAATTGAACCTGGGTTTCCAAAATTCTGTTACAACATCTAACCATCGCACCACACTGGTTCTCACAACTGACATAAATGATTCTCCATAAAAGAGTTTTGGTGAGGATACCTTTGCTGCATCATGTGTTTACCCTATATTATGAATGTAAACTTTTAAGTTTTGATGAAGAAATGACAGTGTTTTTAAGCAGACAAAATGAAATATACATGTACACACACATTTATAGAACAACAGAATAACAGAGTTGGAAGGAACCCTTGGGGGTCTTCTAGTCCAGAAACCCTATACCATTTTTCTGTCTGAAACCCTATACCATTTCAGATAAATAGTTGTTCAATCTCTTCTTAAAAACCTCCAGAGCACCCACAACTTCTACAAGTCATTCCACTGATTAATTGTTCTAACTGTCAGGAAATGTCTCAATTCTCGGTTAATTCTCTCCTTGATTAGTTTTCATGGAAATATTGATAGAAATATTAATACCTTTATCCCATACCTCTGCCTCCCTCCCCCCCTCTGTGTTGTTCTATATATTTAGAGATACAGTATATAGGTATTTATATTCATATAAAAGTGTGTGTGTGTATGTGTACAGGAAAGAGAGAAAAAAGAGAGAGGGAGGAAGATAAACAGAGAGAGCAGAAATATACAGAATAAAAAAATTGGTTAAGACTATGTGAAAGAAAAGGTCACACCAGCACCTGAGCTATCTCTGGACCACATTGGTGCTAGCCTGCAGAACCTGAAAAAGGTAGTAAAGCCTTTTCTTCGTAATGTTTTCTCATTCAAATAGCTGACAACTCATGTGGCTCCTGTAGAGCAGTGACGTATTACAGCTGAGAGCTCCCAGATCAGATTCCTCACCCTTCAGTATTATCCAGTCCTGTGTTCTCAAACCTAAGCCAATTCACATTAATAGAACTCTTTCATGTGATCCAGGGGGAAAAGGATCCCATCACAGAGGAGTGAAAGGCAATGAAGAACTTGGGAAAATGACATCTTTCTGTTTAGTTTAAGGAAGGCTCTCTTTTAGTTTAAGGAAGGAAGACTAGGTAAGTACATCCTAAAGCACACTTTTATAAATTCTTGACAGCAGAAAGCTTGATGTATATTGTCAACTCAACTTTGCAGTGTTACCCAAAAAGGCCTTTGTTTTATGTTTTGTATTTCTTACTGAAACTTTCATTTTACAGTCACTCTCAGACTATTTGTTTGCTAGCCCATGTGATCATCAAAGCAGAAAGCACATTTTATTTTTTTAGCATATATAAATGAAGTAATGTTCTCATGTGTCATAAAGCCAAATAAGAATGCTGTGGTAACATGAGTTGTGCTAATATAACTGCTTTAAGGGGGTAGGGTTATACCAATGATTCTTGTTGACTTGTGAGAAACTTAAACATGTTATTTATTAACTTCCAGGAGTTTATTTATTGGCTCTCAGTGTCACACAATACAGTAAAATATAGGAAAACATTTCCAATCCCAATGCCTGGTGTTTTTGATTTCCATCCATCAAAGTATGTGCTAGAAATATATGGTTCTTTTTTCTTACCTTGAGTACTTCTAAAAATAAAAATATTGACACATTCCTGTGGTCTCCATGGCTTTTTATGCCAATACTTAAATTTCATTATCTTGTTAATTTTGTTGTGTTCTATATTAACTGAAATAATCTCTGAAGTTTATTAAAATTAAATCAATGCAATACAGAACATTCAAACTACATTTTAAATCTTTGTACCATGCATGGAAGAAAATGATTAACCCATACTTAAGTGTCTTTCTCAACATTATCATTATTTTATATCTGTTACAAATTTCGTCCAAGGCATTAATCAGCATGGTTACCTAAGAAGGGCAGCCCTAATTTAGACAAAGGCTTATCTAGTTTAGCTTTCAGTTTCTCAGAGTAAATAGTAATGTAGATTCAGTATTTCTCAACTTCAATTGGCTGGCTGGGGAAGTCTGGGGAAGTCCACACATCTTAAAGTTAATAAGATTGAAAAACACTGATTTAGATTATAGTACAGATAGTTTTCAACCTACAACAGTTCAGTTAGAGACTGTTCAAAGTTGCAATGGCACTAAAAAAAAGGACATATGACCATTTTCACACTTATGACAGTTTCAGCATCCCCCTGGTCATGTGATCAAAATTCCTTTGGCAACTGATTCATATTTATGATGGTTACTGTGTCCATATGTCCATGTGGTCATGTGGTCACCTTTTGAGGCCTTCTGACCCCCCAAAAATCAGTGGGAAAGCCTCAAAAGCCACTTAACAACTTTGTTACTAACTTAACTGCAGTGATTCACTTAACAACTGTAGCAAGAAAGGTCATAAAATGGGGAAATTTATTTAACAAATGTCTCACTTTGCAATTGGGCTAAATTGTGGTCATAAGTCAAAGACTACCTGTAGTCTCCAGCAAGGCAACAATTCTTTCCTGCTTTGGTTTGCCTGCGTCTTTATACTTTTTATTTATTTATATATATATATTTATTTATTTTTGTCAATTGATTACAAGATAATAGGTATAAGTAAGAACATAGTTATGAATACATGGACACATATAAGAAAAAGAAAAGAAACAATAGGAGAGGGACGGTAGGCACGTTGGTGTGCTTATGCACGGCCCCTACAGACCTCTTAGGAAAGGGGTGAGGAAAGGGGTAAGGTTAAAGTTTTTGGAGTTTGGGGAAGAAACCACAGAGTCAGGTAGAGTATTCCAGGCATTGACCACTCTGTTGCTGAAGTCGTATTTCCTTCAATCAAGTTTGGTACGGTTAACCTTGAGTTTGTATATACTCTTTGTGAACTTTGCAAAAGACAACACTGTCAAAAGGGGACAAATCTGTATCAACATCTGCTAAGTCATATGGTAGTAAAGTATCTTTATCCAGTGTGAGTGCAAGGAATGAGTCACAAGGATCATGTTGCATGGAGAAGTTCTTATTTTATACCAGGATTTCCCAACCTTGGGAACCCATGCTGGCTGGGAAATTCTTGGAGTTGAAGTCCATAGACCTTAAAGTTCCCAAGGTTGAGAAAGCCTGTTCTCTACTATTCTTTTATTTTATTTTCATGGATGTTTCTAGTAAGAAAAAAAAATAGGAAAACATTTGAAAAACATAGAAAATGATGTTAGCTTATGAAATCACAAACTGCCTCCCTTATAACATATCATGAATGAGGGTAAGGTCGCTGCAGAATAATAACTCAATTGGAAGCAACCTCTATTCTTTCAAACTGAAAACTTGAAATAATAAAAACCCATTAAGAAATTACTGTATGTGTACACTTTCATGGCTATGGTATACTTTCTATAATTATTGGTTTTTGTCTTGAGTAAAGTGCAAGATTCATAACTCATGTTTATTCAACTGACAGGTGTTAAATGATCCCTTTAAGTACTTAGATTTTTCTCATAATTTTTGAAACAATTTTATGTTTTGAAGCAAGTCACTGGACTGCCATTTTGTGCAACCATTGTTAGGGAGCAGGAAAAAAGAAAAGAAAAGCAAAATCTAAAAAAATAAAAAATGAACAAAAACATAAGAATTAAAAAGGGTAACATATCTGCAAAAATTTGAATATATGACAATCTTAGCTTAACATGACATACATTCATCATACTTGATAACATCTGATGGCTCTTTTTCCCCCATTTCATCCTATCACTACGAAATAGGTCAGGCTGACTCTTCCAGTTCCAGCCCATCCTAACTATGATACATATTGCTGAGTTATGCAGTGAACTTGGTAATATCATTGGATAGTCGTTTGTTTTTTTTTAGCATTTTATATTGTACTTCCATTTGGATGGCTACATTATTATCAAAACATGTCAGACGTGGAAATTGAATTGAATTTTTTTTTCTGAAACTGCAAAGGGAAATAGGAGAAATAACAGAAGGAATCCTACAATTCATACAAAGTTATGTAAAAGGAGGGGAAATCAGCATTGACCTCATTTGTTGTTGTTTTCTAAAAATGCTTTGCACAATATTTTCCATGTTTGTTTATATCACTACACATTAGGAGCAGGAATTCAGTAGACTAACACTTAAAATAGCATCTGAAATTTTAACTCTTTCTTAAGTTGCATGAAAAGTTACAAGTGGGTTACAGTTCATATTTAATTACTGCTTTTACAAAAAAGAACACACACTAAAGATAGGAAGACAAAGAACTGAAAATAATCTCTATTGTGAATATCCCAGAAGTATTCCAGGACATCAATAGAAGATGCACTGAATTAAAATAGATTCTTTAAAAAAAAAACCAGTCCTGCCATATATTTCAGTTCTTATATGCCAGAATTGTCTTAAAGGTTTTGGAATAAAACAGACTGATTCAGTTACAGACATTTTTTCAAAATGTCCTTGGCAAGCATATAGTGTAATGGCTATGTAGATTCTCAGCCATCCAGGTCATAGTGGTCCCAAAGGTGATTTTTCAACTGGATTTTCTTGTTGTTGTTGTTTTTAAGATGTTTTCCTTCTCATCCAAGAGGCTTCTTCAATTCAGACTGGATGGTGGGGAATGGCCATTTTGTTGGCACATTAAATCAATGTGCCAAATTTAAATTTATCAAGACTTCCTTATTCCTAGAAAAAGAGTGAAACTTGTAAAACTCCTGAAACAAACAAAAAAAACCTCCCATATATTATTTTAGAGGAGATAATTTACTGTAAAATCATTTCCCTTTTTAAAACAATTTTGAAAACATATTATCTAGATCAGAGGTGTGAAACTCAATTTCACTGAGGGCTGCATCAGTTGTGTTTAACCTTGGGTGCCAGGTGGGTGTGGCCAGGGTGGGCATGGCCAGGTTGACTTCACTCATGTCTGGGGCCTCTGTAATGGCTCAAGGGCACTGCCAGTGAAAACGAAACTTGGGTGGCTGCGACAGCTTCCTGCAACCCTCACCAGCAAAAACAGACTGCGGGAGGGCTCCCAAGCTCTGTTTTCTCTGGCAGAGGGTTTCAGGAGGTTGTTGCAACCACCCAAGTTCCGTTTTCTCTGGCAGAAGAACTGCGGGCCGATCCTTCACTGTTTCCAAGGTAGCCCCGTGAGCGAAATCAAAGCACCTCGCAGGCCGGATCTGGCCTCTGGGCCTTGAGTTTGACACCCCTGATCTAGATGATACTGAACATGTCAGTCTTTCCAGGAAGATCAGACAGGAAAGACAATCAGATATGCTAATTATACTTTATTATAAGGCTACATTAATAGAACCTTGCAAATCTGATAGTAAAATCTCCCATCATCTCTTTTACAGCCTGAGAAGTTAAGGAGGTTCCTTTATGAGTCTCTTTCTCTGCCCCATTATGCAGCTGTAGGCTATGCCCTTTCTTATCCGATAATTCTCTAGGCATCCTCTCTCTCTTTCTTCCCATCCCTGGTCGTTTCCACAAACAATTAACAAAACAAGAACTGATAGGGTGAAAAATGCAGGAGAATGTTGCTAATATGAACACATTTTTGAATAGCATTAAATACTGTATGAGACCATTCTGAATGTGCAAATTAATAAGGCGCTTAAAGTTATGCTACTGCACAATCCAGATAAGTGACATCTGCAAACAAAGGTACTATTTAATATGTTGCTGGTGACTGCATAGTCTTGGCAAGTACCATAGGTTTGCCACTGAGTTTCTTTCCACATGTTGTAATACAAAAAAATCCATTCATGCCCTTTTTTTCTTCTTTTCTTTGCATTTCCCTGTTCATGTTTGTATATTTTCCCCCTTTCTCTTCTTACAGTATTGTTGTAAAGCAATACAAACATGACAACTGATTATAGTTTAGAATGAAGTAATGAAATCTATAGAAAAACTCTTTATTTCATTTGGGAATCTGCACACTTGAGTTATATAGCTTTGAAAGAAATATCTTAGGCATCAGAAACACTGCTTAGCAGTTCTAAAGTAAACACATTCTTTGACTAATTAAATTTCTCGGGATGGACAAGTTGGGACTTGACAAGTGTTTTTCCTAATTCTGAGTTTTGATCAAGGGCAAATGAAATGGAAGGTAAGATATTAGTCCTGTGTTTACAGCAAGATTTAACCTCCCTCTTCAGGCATTTGGAAACCTAGCTGAAAACTGCATATGCTCAGTTATTCCTACGATTATTTGGAACAAGTTGCTGCATAAAAGCCGTGGGGAACCTTACATATTTTCACATATTATTGCCACTAGTGAATAAATTCATCTTTCAACAACAGAACAGACTTGTGCAGGCATTGAATGCAAAGGATACTAGAGCCAGATTTTGACTAGGGGTGTAAAATTAGGTATAGATGCAGTAGGTAGGAAAGGCTTTTTAAAAATTTGATTATTGGATGGTATGCAATGGAGAAAACTTGGTCTCCTTCTTCCTTGCCAAAAACCTGGATGAAGAGCCTGGTCTTCACAACTTTTCTAAACCACAATAGAATGGACATAATGCCCGATCCTTTAGCACTTGTTGGCTGGTTTAAGAGCTAGGCTGTGATAAAGTCACCATCA